ATTTTAACTTTAGACAAATTGATTGGAGCAATATGACAGGAAATCTTGAGTCTAGTGACTTTCTTGATACGGTTCAGGATTGCTTTTTAGAACAGGTTGTGACAGAACCAACTAGAGGAAACAATCTGCTTGACTTGGTTCGTGCCAACAAAGATTCACTAATTAATAATCTTGAGGTTAATGATGAACTTGGGGAAAGTGATCACAAATCACTTAGTTTCAATATATCATGGAATTACCCAGATAACTGCAATCAAATCTCTGTCCCAGGGTTTTTCGCCTGGCCGACTTCATGGACTGAAAAAAATTACTTGGGTGGGCTAAATTGGGATGTCCTGACTATGGGTCAGGTAGGTGATCTTGGTTGCCAATATGACGTTTTTCAGAGCATAGTTCTAGCTGCCCAGGCAACTTTTGTTCCGAGTAGGGAAATTAGATCTAACAAAAATGATCCCAAATGGATGAATAATAGATTAAAACATCTCATTGGTCAAAAGAGAGGCATATATAAGCGTATCAAAAGAGGGGATGGGCAGTTAAGAAATCAATATATTCAATTAAAGAGAGAAATAAAAAAAGGAATAAGGAAAGCAAAAAGGGATTATGAGGCTAAGGTCGCAAGGGATTCAAAGACTAACCCAAAAGGGTTCTTTCAGGTATACAGAAGTAAAAATTAGGGGCAAGATTGCCCACTTAAGAGTATCTCTGGTCAGATCACTGACAGTGATAAGGATATGTGTGAAATTCTAAATACCTACTTCCTCTCAGTTTTCACCCAGGAAAATACTAGCAATATTCCTGAAATAATAGATTACGTAGAACAGGATGATAATAAACTATGTATGATTGCGGTAACTAGTGACATTGTCCTCAGGCAAATAGAGAAACTAAAACCTAACAAATCCCCAGGCCCTGATGAACTGTTTGCAAGGGTGTTAAAGGAAAGTAAAGAGGAACTTAGCTTACCGTTGGCTAATCTTTTTAACATATCACTACATACTGGCATAGTGCCTGATAAGTGGAAAATGGCAAATGTAATACCTATTTACAAGGCAGGTGACAGGTCCTTGGCTTAGAACTATAGACCAATAAGCCTTACCTCCATAGTGGGAAAATTTATGGAATCAATAACTGCCGAAGCAATTCGTAGCCATCTTGACAGGCACAGATTGATTAATGAATCTCAACACGGTTTTACAAAGGTGCGTTCCTGTCTTACGAATTTACTAACTTTTTTCACTAAGGTGTTTGAGGAGTAGATCATGGTAATGAATATGATATTGTGTATATGGGCTTCAGTAAGGCTTTCGATAGAGTTCCACACCAGAGGCTATTGAGGAAACTTAGGGCACACGGAATAGGAGGAGAATTTTTTTCCTGGGCAGAGGCATGGCTGACAAATAGACAGCAGAGAGTTTGCATAAATGGGGAGAAATCCGAATGGGGGCACGTCACAAGCGGTGTTCCTCAGGGGTCAGTGTTGGGCCCGTTGTTGTTCACAATTTACATAAACGACATAGATGAGGGAATAAATAGCGACATAAGCAAATTTGCTGATGACACCAAAATAGGCCGTCCACTTCCTTCTAATGAGGACATTAGAGCACTCCAGGATGATTTGAATAGACTGACGAAAATGGTCGGAGAAGTGGCAGGTGAAATTTTTAATATTGACAAATGCAAAGTTCTAAATGCTGGACAGTTAAATAACCATGCCACATATAAACAAAATAATGTAATCTTAATACTACCGATTGCGAAAAGGATTTAGGAGTTCTGGTTAGCAGTAACCTAAAACCAAGACAACAGTGCATTAGTGTTCGCAATAAAGCTAACAGAATTCTTGGCTTCATATCTAGAGGTATAAATAATAGAAGTCCTCAGGTTGTTCTTCAACTCTATATATCCTTGGTTAGGCCTCATTTAGACTATGCTGCTCAGTTCTGGTCACCGTATTACAGAATGGACATAAATGCTCTGGAAAACGTACAAAGGAGGATGACAAAGATGATCCCATGTAACAGAAATCTTCCCTATGAGGATAAACTGAGGGCCCTGAATCTGCACTCTCTCGAAAGGCGTAGATTGCCGTAGAATTAGGGGGGATATGATCGAGGTGCATAAATGGAAAACAGGAATAAATAAAGGGGATGTAAATAAGAAAAAGTTTTGGAGTGAGATTAACAAGTTAAGAAAGCCTAGAGAACAAATGGATTTGTCAGTTAAAAATAGGAGAGGAGAGTTATTAAATGGAGAGTTAGAGGTATTGGGAAGATGGAAGGAATATTTTGAGGAATTGTTAAATGTTGATGAAGATAGGGAAGCTGTGATTTCGTGTATAGGGCAAGGAGGAATAACATCTTGTAGGAGTGAGGAAGAGCCAGTTGTGAGTGTGGGGGAAGTTCGTGAGGCAGTAGGTAAAATGAAAGGGGTAAGGCAGCCGGGATTGATGGGATAAAGATAGAAATGTTAAAAGCAGGTGGGGATATAGTTTTGGAGTGGTTGGTGCAATTATTTAATAAATGTATGGAAGAAGGTAAGGTACCTAGGGATTGGCAGAGAGCATGCATAGTTCCTTTGTATAAAGGCAAAGGGGATAAAAGAGAGTGCAAAAAATTATAGGGGGATAAGTCTGTTGAGTGTACCTGGTAAAGTGTATGGTAGAGTTATAATTGAAAGAATTAAGAGTAAGACGGAGAATAGGATAGCAGATGAACAAGGAGGCTTTAGGAAAGGTAGGGGGTGTGTGGACCAGTGTTTACAGTGAAACATATAAGTGAACAGTATTTAGATAAGGCTAAAGAGGTCTTTGTGGCATTTATGGATTTGGAAAAGGCGTATGACAGGGTGGATAGGGGGGCAATGTGGCAGATGTTGCAAGTGTATGGTGTAGGAGGTAGGTTACTGAAAGCAGTGAAGAGTTTTTACGAGGATAGTGAGGCTCAAGTTAGAGTATGTAGGAAAGAGGGAAATTTTTTCCCAGTAAAAGTAGGCCTTAGACAAGGATGTGTGATGTCACCGTGGTTGTTTAATATATTTATAGATGGGGTTGTAAGAGAAGTAAATGCGAGGGTCTTGGCAAGAGGCGTGGAGTTAAAAGATAAAGAATCACACACAAAGGGGGAGTTGTCACAGCTGCTCTTTGCTGATGACACTGTGCTCTTGGGAGATTCTGAAGAGAAGTTGCAGAGATTGGTGGATGAATTTGGTAGGGTGTGCAAAAGAAGAAAATTAAAGGTGAATACAGGAAAGAGTAAGGTTATGAGGATAACAAAAAGATTAGGTGATGAAGATTGAATATCAGATTGGAGGGAGAGAGTATGGAGGAGGTGAACGTATTCAGATATTTGGGAGTGGACGTGTCAGCAGATGGGTCTATGAAAGATGAGGTGAATCATAGAATTGATGAGGGAAAAAGAGTGAGTGGTGCACTTAGGAGTCTGTGGAGACAAAGAACTTTGTCCTTGGAGGCAAAGAGGGGAATGTATGAGAGTATAGTTTTACCAACGCTCTTATATGGGTGTGAAGCGTGGGTGATGAATGTTGCAGCGAGGAGAAGGCTGGAGGCAGTGGAGATGTCATGTCTGAGGGCAATGTGTGGTGTGAATATAATGCAGAGAATTCGTAGTTTTGGAAGTTAGGAGGAGGTGCGGGATTACCAAAACTGTTGTCCAGAGGGCTGAGGAAGGGTTGTTGAGGTGGTTCGGACATGTAGAGAGAATGGAGCGAAACAGAATGACTTCAAGAGTGTATCAGTCTGTAGTGGAAGGAAGGCGGGGTAGGGGTCGGCCTAGGAAGGGTTGGAGGGAGGGGGTAAAGGAGGTTTTGTGTGCGAGGGGCTTGGACTTCCAGCAGGCATGCGTGAGCGTGTTTGATAGGAGTGAATGGAGACAAATGGTTTTTAATACTTGACGTGCTGTTGGAGTGTGAGCAAAGTAACATTTATGAAGGGATTCAGGGAAACCGGCAGGCCGGACTTGAGTCCTGGAGATGGGAGGTACGGTGCCTGCGCTCTGAAGGAGGGGTGTTAATGTTGCAGTTTAAAAACTGTAGTGTAAAGCACCCTTCTGGCAAGACAGTGATGGAGTGAATGATGGTGAAAGTTTTTCTTTTTCGGGCCACCCTGCCTTGGTGGGAATCGGCCGGTGTGATAATAAAAAAAAATAAAAAAAAATAGTGTGCTGAAAATTTCCAGCCAAGACAGGACTCGCAGCAATGGTTTCAAGTTGGAAAAATTCAGATTCAGGAAGGATATAGGAAAGCACTGGTTTGGTAATAGAGTTGTGGATGAGTGGAACAAGCTCCCGAGTACAGTTATTGAAGCTGAAACGTTGTGTAGTTTTAAAAATAGGTTAGATAAATACATGAGTGGGTGTGGGTGGGTGTGAGTTGGACCTGACTAGCTTGTGTTGCTGGGTCTGGTACAGTGCTCCATCCTTGAGTGGGGATCACCAGACTGGGTGGGTCATTGGGATAATCCAGGGGGGTGGGTCATTGGTCTAATCCGGGGGGGGGGCATGGACCTGCTCCGCATGGGTCAGTAGGCCTGTTGCAGTGTTCCTTCTTTTTTATGTTCTTATGCTCTTACCAGTACACAGTATTTACCAGTACACAGTATTTACCAGTACACATTATTCACCAGTACACAGTATTCACCAGTATACAGTACTCACTAATACACAGTACTTTCAGGTACATAGTACCCACCAGTACACAGTATTCACCAGTACACAGTAGTTTCGGGAACATAGTACCCACCAGTACCCAGTATTCTTCAGTACACAGTACCCACCAGTACAGAGTATCCACCAGTACACAGTATCTACCAGTACACAGTATCCGACAGTGCACAGTATTCATACTTACCTGGGAATCACCAGTACTTAGCACTCACCTAGTACTCAGTACTCACCAGTATACGGTATTTACGAGTACTGACTAGAGCTACTTACCAGGGACTCACCAGTACACAGTACTCAGCAGTACTCATCAGTACTCACCTAGTACTCGCTTGGTCTCCTCGCTGGTCATGTAGAGGTCAATATTGCCGGCGGTGTTGTGCGGCATGAGCGCCGCCACCACCACCACCGCCGCCGCCGCCGCCCACCACCGCCCCCGCCACCACCACCAACGCCGCCCGCCGCCGCCGCCCACAGCTTCAGCCATGGCGGCCTCATGGGCGGGGCGGCACCATGGTGGGGCGGGCGGGGTCACAGCAGGTCACGGAGTCACAGCGGGTCACTCCCACACTCATAACACTGTAAGAGGGACAACACATGCTGGTCAATACATACGTACGGTAGGATTATTATTATTAATGACCTGAGACATGTAACTGTAATTGTCGGAAAAATGTCCTAATAGTCTCACACACACACACACACACACACACACACACACACACACACACACACACACACACACACACACACACACACACACACACACACACACACGATAAAGCTCATGGAGCAGGGAGAGAATGGACCAAGTAGCGACCAACAAAGACGTGAGGCCAGGAGCTGTGACCCGACCATTCGACCACAAACAGGCGAGTACAAATACAGGGGAGTGTACACACACACACAATGCTACATAATAAGGCAGTAAACGCTCTGACAAACACAGACTTCTCTACAGAAAACTTACATGGGTTCAAAGTAGGTTAATTATGCCTCCCTAACCTTATTTAATTACATGACGAAATAATAATAAGCAGACAGAAAAGAGGAGAGCTAGACCGCATATTCCTGGACTGTCAGAAAAGCCTTTTGACAGGGTTCCTCAAGAGGGAGAATACCTGACAGAGACGGCAAGAATGTCGCAGAGAGGTGGTGTCAGAATAGACACGTGAACTGATGATTACTGAGTACTGGTTAGTACTGGTGGCGAGGAAGGAGAAGCACCGAGAAGAGTGGAGGAAACAAGAGACTAAGCATCTCTGTAGGTGAGACAAATCTAATGAGAAGAATAAAGATAAAAGATTGCAACTTTGTTTTTTTAGAGCTGGGAGTTAGATCTCCAGCAGTATATTTCATGATAGCCTAAATTCTTACATCACTACGAAAGCAAGTATCCAGGGGAGACATGATCACAGCTTACAAAATACTTAGAGACATCGACAAAGAATAGTGGATAAAAAAGAGAGACATAAAAGGAAAATAGAAACTGAAATGAGCGAAAAGTATGTAGCAACAACAACAAAAATAATCGAATCTTATGACAGCGAACAAATGCAAGTGTTGCATGCAAAGAGTATGTAAACTTTATTCGGAGCATGTTAATACACTCACTTAGGCTGCCTCACCAATCAGCGAACCAGGTCACTAAGGGTCGGACGATCGGGGCCCCATCGTCAGATCAGTACCTAGGTTCAGCCAGTAATGTGGATCTGGCAACTGTGAAGGTGACGTGGATACCACTCATATTTTCACCCTCGTCATTTTCATTCTAAAGATGGTTGAAGCACGGTGGTCTGCTCTTGTCTTTTGGCTGCTGCTCTGCCTTGCTTACCGTGGCGTGCAGTAATACCTATTGCTGTACATAGTGTATATCGTGTACATACTTCTGTTTATACTTGGTGAAGGATATAATTCAAAGTTTTCTGCTGTGGTTAGTTTGCTCCCTTTACACCCAGGATAACAGGCCTTGAGTACCTGGGTTGTCACCAGGAAGTGACGTAGTGGAGTCGAACTCTATACATGGACTTAAGATATTAAGATACACTTGTTAATCCAAGCGCAAAAGCGAGGCTCAAGAGCTTGAGCCTTACCCTTCCCCAGCTAGATAACTGTCAAGGGTAAGAGTTATCGCACTGCTGCGCGTTGAATAAATTTAAAAATGCCATGCATTTTTTCCCTAATAATTAATATCACACACAGACACACACATGTGCTGTAGCCCCGGCAAATAAAATTCTATTCTGATTCTGATGTGATTACACACAATGAGCATTCAGTCCCTCGTATAAATATACACACATACATGACATACATTCATCTATCGACACAAGTTATGGCGTATTTATACACAAATTACCATCAATACAGGCGCGCGCACACGCAAAAAAGATATATCCCACCATTCTCTCAGTGACACGCGAAATTTCCATCAATAGAGGAACACACAAAAAATTGCTATACCGCCACTGTTCTTTCAATGGGAGGCAGCGTTACCGTATTACTGGACACAATGCAAATGCTTCCTACTGCCCCATTGAAAATATTATTAGTACAATTAATTATATTATAATGTTATGTATGTTTTTAGCACCAAAATTCTGATTCAACTTAAATATAAATAACCGAGGTTTATCATTTTGTGTAATGAAGGACGTTATTCGTTAAATAATACGTTTTAGAGGCCTTAATGTTGTTAGATGGTGGCTTATACCGCTTCATGTAGGACAAGATTAGCCTAGTATTACTACTACTACTACTACTAATAATACTATAATAATAATAACAGCAATAATAATAATAATAATAATAATAATAATAATAATAATAATAATAATAATAATAATAAATCATGTTGAAGGAAGATTTAGGAATTGAAAGGAATGGGTGGATCAAGTGTTGGAGCTGGGGTACCTACTTGAGCAGTACCTAATTAAGGATAAGGAGCTGTTTGTTGCATTTATGTCAGAGTGGATAGGGAAGCGATGTTGCTCGTGTTGCAAATGTTTGGAATAGGTGCTGGGTTACTGAGAGCTGCTACGAGTTCTGAAGAGGAGAGTTAAGGTCAAGGTGTACTGGAGAGAAAAATATTTTTGCAGAAGTAACCCTAATGCAGGCATGGGAAGACGTCACTTTGTTCATAGTCATTTTAAATTTGGTTGCAAGGGAAAAGGAATGTTAGTGTTAATAACATGTGTTGCCATAAATAAAAAGTAATCTATTATAAAACTGGAGAAGTTACAATTTGTGTTTGCCGATGCCACAACATTGTGTTTGATGTGTCAGCGGAAAATTCTGAATTTTCTAAAAGATGTCGAGAAAAAAACGTGAAAAATGTTGGGAGAAGCTGTACATATCTGTAGAAGAGTTTGGATGTATATACTAAGGATGGAAAGTGAAAGTGAACCCCGAGAAGAGGAAACTGATGAAAAGAAAGAGTAAGTAGAGGAAGTAAAATGTCAGGAAACGCATGTCATGGAGTAGGTAGGGGAAAGTAGCAATAATATTGATTACTCTGTGGGAAGCAGAATATGTCAGAGGATGAGTGTTGTTGAGTGTGAAGCCCGAATTAAGCCTGAATGCCTTCCACATCCCCCCCCCAGGCGCTGTATAATCCTCCGGGTTTAGCGCTTCCCCCTTGATTATAATAATAATAATCAATCACGGAAAGTTGCAGCCAGGAGGAGGCAGTGCAGATGTCATGTATAAGATCAATACATTGTGTGATTACGAAAAAATACACGAGTTATGAAGAAATTTGAAAAATGCGTGTTTGACAAGAAAGATATAACTGAAAGAGTGAAGAGTGGTTGTTCAGAGGGTTTGGTCATGTATAAAATATAGAAAGAGAGGTTTATTGAGAGAACATCCCAACCATGGCTAGACGGTGTATGGGACAACAAAGACAGTATGAGAGATACAGCTGTACAACGTTAGCTCAAGTTATCACGGAAATTAATGGGGCGAAACCTCGCTTTAAAGTAGCTACCTAACGTTGCACAAGTGTTAATTTTATACATTTGCCGGTATCGAAATTTGAAACATCAAAGAAAGTGTTGGAGGGAGAGCGAAGAAGGTTTTAGGAGGTAGCGGCTTGAGCACCTAGCATACATGTGTGTGAGAGTATTAGACCGGAGTGAAGGAAAGTGACCTTTTTTATATATTTTTCATGTGCTGGTGGAGTATAAGCATGGATATATATGCTAATGAATCCAGGAAAACGGACAGGAAAGGACAGGACGTGAGTTTTGGATGGAAGTACCGTGTCAAAAATTTGATAGAAAAACGGGCGAGGATGTTATTAAAAAAATATGTTATACAGTGTTGACACATAATAAATTATTAATATTTCAAATAGATTTAAATATTTTGAATATTTTTAAACTTTATTTCAGGGGGAAAATTGAGAAAAATTTTAAAACAAGAAATGAGAAAACGTTTTGGTATGTTATTGGAAGGAAAGCCAATTATGGCTTTTGCAAAATTACATTAATATCATCATTACATTATAACTATCACAATGTTTTATAATTGTCTTATTATTCAAATTATTTTCATTAACTCTTACACGTTTAGAGCTTACGCTTAAATATAATACTACTACTACTCCCACTTCAAGCAGAAAATTTAGACTACGTTTTAGTCCGTTCAGGATCGAAACAAAGCGTTAAGTTTTATTTAAGCAGTAACAGTACTCGTTGGCTCTGGGTTTAACTACATCAGCTGGATGAGTATTTTTTTCAAACTTTTATTATCTTACTGACAGTTTTGGAATTGGTGTTTAATTGTTCATGCCAGATGAATTTTCGTGAATCGTTGCCACTCTCGAATTTTTGAGAATGTTCCAATAAGTGTTTCTTCGTTGTTTGGTTCGTAGGCCATTCTCGGGTCAAACGGGATATTTTTTTTATCATGAGATGTTTGGGAAGATGATGTGAGGGTTGGGGACAATGGTGGGGCCATAACAGGAGTAACATCCACTGGCTTACGTCTGCTGGACCCAGTGTGGCTTCTGGCTTGACAGATTCGTTAACGGATATGGAGAACAAGCTTTCGTTGGGATGACATTTCGTTCTGTGTAGACTCGACACTGCTCTACGCTGTAAAGCTTCATGAAGTTATGATGCGAGAAAGCTCTGCACAGAGCGAAACGTTGTCCCGGCTAAACCTTGGTGTGCAGCTTGTTTCTCTCTTCACACTAAACATCACTAAACACATGCAACCATTTTAGGGTGTCTATTTAGGAAGTAAAAAAGAGATACGGTTATATATATATATATATATATATATATATATATATATATATATATTTATATATATATATATATATATATACTGACCTCTGGCCGAAGGAGACTCGAACCTACGAACCTTGGAACAAGGTACGCAATGCTATACTATTCTCACCACACTGGACAATACCTTGGCGCCTAGCACAATGCTAGACGTTGATCCAAGGCAGCCAGCTTTCAGGGAGAAGGCTTACAGCTTTTCATCTCATCCCCTGCATGCATCGACCAACTCGAGATTTCGCCTGCTCTTGCGAATTCCTTGCATTGTTAAAATCTCTGGTT